GGCTGGCTGCAAAGGGGGAAGAGAGGCTAAATCTGAAGTTTCATGAGGTTAAGGGTTAGATGATGAGTCAAAAAATGAATAGTAGAGACCCCAAATGCTTAGGGAAATGGTGGGACAGGTGGATGCATGCAGGCAGCAAGGCTCCACTTGTAGGATGAGAGAGAAGCCCGTATTTCTGTGTTGTCCAACTCCCTGTCCCCAGGTTCTCTGGGTCTAAAAAGGCCTCTGAAGATGGAATGTCTGGGGTATGGAAGGTGGATTTTACTCAGGGAGGATAGACAAAGCATGAGGAGACAGATGGGAAGAATCTGATGTGACAGCCATTGGTGGGTTGCTATTTGGGTGTAAAATATTAAGGTGGGATGATTACATGATTAGTGCTCTAATAGTAAACTACATGAGAAATCAGAAGATTGTCATGCAGCAAAGATAGAATGAAATAAGTGTCAGATGGGAGCTGGTTGTGGAGTGATTCAAAGCCCACCAGGGTGAAAAGAAAGATTATTTTATTCTTCAGATGTCAGACCTAACGTGGACTCTGAGGCTGGTCTGGAAGTAACCATGAACTCCCTTTTGGGACAGAAACATCAAGTCTGGTAGCCCTTACCTGGTAAAGCAGCACCTTCTCCTTGGTCTGGGCAGAGAAGAAAGGCTGTGCCAAGTCAAATTTGTCTCCTTAAGCCTCCTTGTTGGTGACTGGATGATTTTCTGTCAAAACACAGTTGGAGGAAGCGGGGGAGACAGCTCTCTCTGTTTTTAGGGGTTCCAGTAACATTTTTATTTTCCTTGCGAGTATTTTGTCCTTGGTTTCTCTGTGAAAAGCCCACACAGACATTGGATGCTCTGAGAGATCCTTAAATGTATCAGTCTTTAAAAGCAAGAGGAAAAAAAGTGATGCAGATTTTTTTTTTCTGTTTTGTTGGATTATTTGATCAGAGATTGCTCAAACAATTACAATAACAACCATTGGAAAGCTAGCCAAGGTGGCATATGAAGTAAAATGGAAGAATTAACATACTTAGATAGTTTTATCCTCACTTATTTTCGTTTCCCTCTCTGCTGCTTTCTCCGAGGTGTGTCCTGGGCAGTGTGGCTGAAGTGGGGTGTTACAGGTGTGGGGCTGGAAGCTGATCAGGGCACACACACACCCAGAGTGGTTTTGTGTCCATCTGGGCACAGGAGCTGTGCTTGCAGGAGGGCACAGCCTGCATCCCATGGCACGGGGATCTGCTTTCCTGCCTGAACCGCAGGGCTTGTTTTCCCCAGCTTTTAGAGCCATTTTGGACAGGCTGGCATGATGGCTCTGTTACGCGGTGTGGATTTTTTTTTCTTTTAACAGTGATCTCCAAAGAGATTATTTTTAATGAATGTGTCCTTTTTTTCTTACTCAGTGCATAAAAATGGCTCAAGGGCTCATATTCTTTGCCTGTCTCCCTTGCTGGCCTCTCCTCAAACAACAAAAGAAAGGCATCTTTCTTTTTTTGACTTGGAGTTAGCAACGATGTTAGTTTTGGGATTTTGGAATTTTCTCAGTGGGGCAAGTGCGTTTCTGTTTTGTTTTGGTTTTTTAATCTGTTTTTTTTTGGGTCGGGATTTTATTGTGGAGAGGGGTCTGGGGATCTTGGGTCTCACTGCACTTGTGTGAACTCTTAACACCTTAATTGAAGGGGTGGAGATGCTGAATCACTAACAAAGACCTCCTTTATCCAAAATGTTAATCAATCATTGACGTTAAATAAGTGTGAACAAAACCAAGCAAAAAAAGCCCCCACCCTAAACAAGTTTTTGTGTAAGTCCCCCTCCCATTCAGCTGCTCATCTTTGGTCAGGTTAACGTGATAAATTCTTTTGGGAATGGGTTCTGCCCGTGCACTTGATTTTTGCAGTGTTTAGTAAAAGTTCTGTTTATGACTTCCCAGTGTAGTTTTCCCAGTACAGATTATTTAGCTTCTAGATGTCTGAGGAGGTTCTGGGAAAAATTGTGATTTGCTCTGGTGTGGGGGAGTAGCTGGACTATGATAGCAGTGTTGTGGCCATCTTTTTGTACACTAGGTTTTTTTTTTTCCTTGTTTGTTTTGGGGAGTTATTTTGCTTTTCTCTCTTGTGATGAGTTAATTTGTTTATTGGTCAACACCATCTTCTAAGCTAGGCAGGACTTGAATTTTAACGTGAAAGAAAATAAATAGGTTTCTGGTCATACAAGCAGAAACTTTGTCAATCTCTTTTGGGTATTATGGATACAAAGGGTGTGGACTCTTTCTTCCCCTCCTTCCCCCCCATTTCATCTTTACAGTTCATGTGCTTGGATTGTTTTCAGTCAGGGTTAGTCCACAGCCAAACTGCATTTGTCACCAAATACCCAAATATAGAAACTGAGGCGACTGCAAGCCACAAGGCTAAAATATTCATCTACTACAGCTTTTCTGAGCAGTTTATATGTTTGATGTGTTTAAGAATGGAGTACCTTTGATCCATATTTCCCAGCTATTCAAAGGCTTGCTACTCTGCAGCACATTGACTTCCCATACCTATTTCTAAGTGTTTCTTCCTAGATGTTGTTTTTTCCTCTGAATTCTTGACATGCTGTGTCAATTCTCCTGCCTCACAAACTGTGCCTATGGCTTAGGAATTTTGCTGGTCTTTTATAAATTCAGTAGGAAAAAAACTCCAACCCCAAACAGCAACAACAACTTTATGCTGTGAAGCAATTACACTCCAGTGAGTATTCAAACTAATTTTATCTTAAATGTGAGCTGTGCTACCTTGCAGGGCTTTTTCTCTTCTGCTTTGTAGAAGTTTGTCAGAATTTCTTCATAGCAATGCAGGCAGCCTTCATAAAATCCTTCTAGCTCGTTTGTGTGGCCTTGGACTTCACAGAAATCTCTGTGCCTCCCTAAGGTCTGTGGTCTGTTTACACAGATATGAAGTCCTTTAACCCAGCAAGTTTTGCTGTGGGCTTGGATTTCCTGCTTACAAGCTCTGCTGGAGTCCCTCTAGTCTTCCTGCTGGCAAAATAAAGGTGTTAACTCAGTTTTTCAGAGCAATTTGTGAATGGAAGGAGATTTCATTGCCCAATTTTTGTTCAAGCACTGCTCTGCCTATTGAATTTAAAAGAACTTTCCCCTACGTACCCTTACTTGTCTGTTAGGTTTTTTGTTTTACTGCTTTAAAAGTTTAATTATTTTGGAGCTTGACCTCCTTTGTAGTGGGGACTACACAAGTCCAGAAGAACAGGAACTTTATTCATAATTAGAAACTCCAGATAATCTTGAAGAACTTGAACAAAAAAAAAAAAAATCAATCTGTTGGGAAATTTCCAAAGGGTTGCCTTTAAGAACATGCAGGCTCATAAATCCTGGTTAACAACAATAGGTGACATTTAATGTGCTGAATCCAAGTGAACTGTTGCAGTGTTCACTTCTGATTTATATTTTTGAAGAAGCAGGGCTGTGCTTTGTGAGTGCACCCTTACCTGTGGGCCGAGCTGCCCTCTATTCCTGTGAGCTCTTCCCTCAGTGCTGGAGCTGGGATTTGAGGAGTCCTTGGTGCTCATCTGTTCTGACTCTGCACCACCCTGTGTGTGTGCTGGTGCTGCTGTTGTGGAGCAGCTGGATGCTGGAAGGGATCAGGGAGCTGATCTGGATCAGGAGTAGCCTGGCAGAGAAATGATGATGCTTGGCCTGCCTCGCTTTGCCAGGCTGGTTTGCCACGGGCACATCACACAGTGTGGCGCAGGGGTGGCAGCAAATATTGGTACCAGCAGTTCTCTGCCAAAAGGAATGCTCATCTAACTACATTGCTAAGAGTCTGCTAAACTTGCTAAATGTTTTTTACACCTGTTTGTTACAGCTTCCCTTGCCTGAGAACAGCTCCTCCAGCTTACCTTGTTGTTTTTGCCAAAAATCATCTCAGAACGTACATGCAAGGTATCAAAAGGGGAGCCCTCTTGAAGAAGCTTTAAGCAGGGCCAGCAGAAGAGTGTTGGGGCTTTGCTGTGGAAGAGTTTCTGCTGCCTCAAGACTTTCTGTTGATTGAGAACATGTAGTGTAAATTAACGATACACTGTTTAGTGTGGTTGCAATTAAGCAGTGAAACTCATGCTGTGAGAATCTTGCTGAGGAGCAAGAATTCAACAAGAGTTAAAAAGCATCAGATGTCTTTAAGAATATGAAGAATATTCAATTATCATAATCAGTGGCAGTAGAAATTTTGGAAGAGGTATTAAGCCTGTGGTCTAAGCCTTCTTTTTTATTCTGCTCTAGCAGTTGTGCTTCTATATTGGGAAAGGGAGGGATGGAGTAGCTTGTTGTGCCTGGGTTTGCAGCAGGGTTCTCACACTCCTCTGCAAACTTGATTGAGAACCAGCATATGAGATGTGCCATAGGCTTTGGTTGGATCTTGGTGAACCATCCTGAAATCTGGTAAACTGTGGCTATTCTGAAGTGAACTGCTGCCTCACAACTTTTTACATTTTCTTTATTCCTACTTCTGTGGGTTGTTCTTACATATTCTTTTGCAAGTTGAATCTGAGCACTCTGATTTTGATGTACTTTGACAACACTAATTGAATTTATTTTAAATACTGTTATGAAATTGCAGTTAACTATATCTGAAGAATGAATGTTATCTCTTTAGAGAGATCCCTTTCTTTTCAGACAGACTTAAAAGCAGAAGTGGGATTTTCCTTGTTTGGCCTCCAAGAAGATGCTTGTGGAATAGGGAAGGGAGGTGAACAGGGGAGCTAGAAGGTGTTTTTGGCCTGTTTGTTTTTTAAAGCCTAGGCAGAATCAATGAAATCCTTTCAAAGGAAGGAAGAAGTGCCTTTTGCCACTGACATGATTTCTTTCAACAAAGAAAGATGGAGCAATGTCCTCTGAGGTTTCACTGAAAAAGGGGTGCTGCAGTCTTGACAACAGTGCTGGTTTTAGGTGCTCCTTAGTGGTACAGTCAGGGGCATAAAGAGTGGGTGATACATTTTTGGAATTGCAACAATACACACAACAATTCAGCTGCATGTGGAATGGAGGGGAGCTTGCTGTTTTCTGTATTGGGCTCAGAGCAGTTGTGCAGGCACAGATACCCACCCAGCTGCCTGGTCAGCTCTTAGCACTGGCAGTTACTCTGAGCTGGCTGTCTTGTTGTCATGGCTGTTGGCCTCTAAAGAAAGCAGTGCTGCTGTGTTTTCCTCCTGGTGAGGCTCTGCCTGCATAGTAGCAGGGCAAGAGAGCTTTAAATCTGACCCACCTTGTCACTGATGGTCTCTGTGTGCCTGTGGTTGTCCCCTGTGCCTTCTGAACAAAGGGTGCAGAATCTGTTTTACCTTATCAGCGGGGTGTTGGGGCCCATGGGCTCTGTTAAAGCCAGGATTGCCTGGGTTTGGTGGCAAACTTGGGAACAGAGCTCGGCTCTGAACGTGCCCATGATTTATCTACTTGACCACGTTACTTACGCTCTACAAATTGCTTTAAGTCTCTGAGTCTGCCTGTGTCTGTTGTGTCAAGCTATCTTTGCCACCTTTGCAGTGTGTACAGAGTTGTGAAGACCTGAACAGAAATTCTGGTTTAGTGGCTCACTGATAAAAACACTGGGTGAGATCAAGCAGTGCAGAGCATTTTTCAGGTTGCTCAGAGCTCTGCTTTCTGCATTTTACTAAACTGACTTCTTCAGGTGTCGTGATATCACTGTTCCACTGCCTGAGAAATGGCAATGTTCTATCTATGTACCAATCTGGATTTGTTTGAGGATTGATTAGAAATGTATTTGCAGTGTAATATAAAACCAAGTTGTATCCTGCTGAGGTGAGCAGGCCCAGCCTCAGCAGAGACAGCTGGTACAATGGACAGTGTATGGAGAAATTCTTTTCAGAACTTATGATGGTGGAAGTTTTCCACCACATTTTATATGTATGAATGAGGAAAAAAAAAGTAAACTTCAGGTCAAAATGATTTGACAGCTTGTTAGCAAGAAAACACTTTCTTCTGCCTCTTGAAAATAATAATTTTATATATATATGCATATATAAAAAAGTATTTAACCTTCTTGTGGTTGGGGGATAGAAGGTTGAAACTGTCAGGCAAATAGCCACCATGCAGCAGAAATGCTTCTGAATGCTTTAGTGAAAGGCAGCTTTGATTTGACAGCTATGAGGCTTTGAAAGTAGCGCTGTGTTTACAGAGCACAGTAAATACTTTGAAGTGCGTTCGGCTGTGCTGTACATGCGTGGCTAACTAGAGGAATATTAAATGCCTACATCTTGTGTTGAGTGAGGGAGGATCCTGCAGCAATTGGAATTGCATGCTCCTCGTACTTTTAGAAGATCGTGTCAAAGCAGTAGATTTGATAATAGACCTGATTATACAATTGCTTAATTTCTTGTCAAAATAACATTTTTACGTGCAGTGTTCTGAGATCTTTGAGGTGACCTCATGTTATTTATCAAATGTCAGTTTTTCATCCCAGCAGCTTTGATATCATCATGTAGCATCGTGGAGTAGTGTGTACATGCAGTTTTTGCTTGCTGGAGTTCTTTGAAGTGCCTTACTCCTTAGAAGAGTCATTGCTGTGTGGAGGATCCTGCATTTAATAGCTGGGAAGCCAGTGTGGAATCACTGCATGGTGTCACTGAGGGTCCTGCTGCTCTCACGTGCCCCATGTGGGTCTGAAAGCAAGGGCATGAGGGGTTCAGTGCTCCAGGGACACATTTCACCCAGCAGTGAGCTGCAGGGATGCAGTAACTCTTCAGCTCTGCTCCCATGGGCATGCCGGGTTTGTGGTGTTGAGATCCCCAGGTGCCTGAGAACAGCAGGGAGGGCTCATGCAGAGGAGCAGAGCTGCTGGTGACAATCCTGAACGAAAACTGGTCTGGCAGGCGCTGCTGGAAGGTGGTGATGCTCAGGGGGGCCTTGGCAAAGAGCTCATTTGGGAGGAGGGAGAGCAGAGCTGTGAAGGTGAAGGTTCCCATGAAGGAAGGTGTATGGCTCACCAGCAATTCTGGCTGGTGTCTGTGTCGTGTCCCCTTGCAGCACAGTGGGGAATTACTGCTTGCTGTAGCACTGGGCTTTTCTCACAGGAGCTCTGTCCTGTACTGACCCATCCCAGCCCCACTTAGCTTATGAGAACTGACAGGACTGCAGCCCAAGGAGCTGTGCCCGAGGATTGCTGCTTATCTTCCATTCTGGGAGCCTGTTGAAGGGATGCCGAAAGGGAAGGAAAAAGCATTTGGGTTTTTTCTGTGCTGAACTGATTAGTGACTTGTTTTTCCCAAGCCTTTTGTTCAAGCAGTGTGGTGTTAATACTTGTAGAAGAGCAAACTGCTGTCTCCTTCATCCTGTCTCCCCATCCAGTATTTCAGCATATTTTCCCCCAGCCCCTTTCAACAGATTAGTTTCTAGAGAATGGCTTGCTGGCAAGTTTGACACAGGTGTCTTTTACCTGTGGTTGTTCATGCTGATGTCCCTATTTAAATTTTTCAAAAAACAAACCCAGAGAAGTAAGAGGAAGGAGATTGCCTGTTTCTCCTAACTCCTGAAAAGTAAATGAAGTTGTGACAGAAGCCAAAGCTATGAAAGCAGGCCACAGAGAACTCTCATTACCCACTGGACTCCTGCATGCAATGCTGACTGATGCTAAGGCTATTAACTGCTAACATGGCATGGAAAGCTGCAGAAGCCTGTCATATATTAGGGAAATACTGTTAAAATGTTTCTTAAAAAATCCCTTATAGTTTGAGCTTTTGATCTTTATCGGTGTTTACAATAGCTGGCACTCCATGGCAGCCCGGCTGCTGCTCAGGTGAGCCACCCTCCACGCAGGGAGCTCCAAACTGCACTTGTAAAGCACATGGGCTGCTCCCAGCCCTGCTAACAGAGGTGGAGCTGCAGTGGTGTTGGCAGCTGTGCCAGGCTGAGCTGAGGTCAGCGCCATGTCGTGACAGGGAGCGCGACCGACGGCGCCCCGGCCGCCCCGCACCTGCCAGGGCCACTGCTGAGGCTGAAATGGCAGGAACGCTGAAGGGAAGTGCTCATCATGTTCCTGTGCAGAAGCAGATAGCTCTAACTTAGGCTTTGAGCACTTTTTTTAAAGAATTTTTCTTTTGGCTTTTTCCCCAGACTGATTTCTGGAACTGTGTCAGAATCTGCCAAGAGCTTGTTCCAGTCCCAAGTGAACCAAGTAGTTCAAGTGTTTTTTACATAATAGAGAGCTTTTCAATTTCCCATCTGCTGTTTGTCTGTGTACACCTTGAATTTGATCACCAGCATCTCTTAGTGTCCTTGGTGAAGGAGTTTTACAGAGTCAGAAGCTGTCTAGGACAGCCATGCATCCCTGTTGATTAATAATGCACTGAAATGTTGTTAAATACATTAAAAATAAGTTTAATGGACATACAGTCGTCTGTTTGACAAGAAGTGTTAGTGTTATTCACAACTCTTGAAAGTTACGCTTGTGAGAGTAGCGGGCAACATGTCTGTTGCAAAAGACTGTTTTAGAATGATTTTTTAAAAGTACCTAAAAAGAGTGATTACTTATACAGCCTCTATATCATGGCTACTGTTGGTTATCCATGTACTTCTCAGAAGGAAGAGAATAGTTGCTAGAGATACCATTTTCTCAGAAAAGGGGATAGTGACATGAGAAACCCTTAAAAGACTTAATTCTCTGAGCCTCTGAGTTTGTACTGTGCTCTGTCAGTGATTGTCTTCACTGCATGTTTTGAGGATGTAGAGCAAAAGTTTGGATTTTCTGTGCCCTTTGCTGTTTTGAATGGACTTCAGGAGAGATTTGCTCTTTGGGAAAGGTCCCCATCTGTGGTGATGGGGAGGGAGGCAGTATGGGAGGAAGGGTGTCTGTGCTGTCGTATTTGAGAGGTGTGCATGGGCAGGCACAGGTAGGCTCAGCAGAGCTGCACTGTGTGACCACACTGTACTGCATTTGCATAGGTCTGATTAAATATTCTTACAGTTTCTGGGAGGCTTATCCTGTGGTCCTCAATTCTTACATCAAATGAAACACCTCAAGGGAACTTCTCTCCATGTAATGGCATAGATTCTTGCATGCCCTTTTCCTGTCTGTGTCTGTTGGTCTTCAAGGTGCTAATTTTAGGTGAATCTGTGTTTCTCTGTGCTTCAGGGCTGGATCTAGTTGTGGGCAATAACCCACTCATTTAGAGATGCTTACACACCACCACAGGAGAAGGTATTGTCCCTGTGGAGGTTGCAGTGCTGCCTGGTGGAGATTGTGTAGCCCCCACGTTCGTGTCACCTCAGCTTATTTTAATACAAGTTCTTGATTATTCTGTTTATTGAGACTAATTTCTAGTATAAAACTGTGAACGTAGAGAGAATCCTGTGCAGACTTTGGAACAGCAGTGATTTCTCTGATGTGGGAAGATGGAATTCTCTGGGAAACAGTGAGAACTTTGTGTCTCATTTTTAGTTGTTATGACATGAGCATAGGCAAGTCCACACTGTTTTGGGGTAAGTGAGGACCATCTAGAAAATGATGATTGCCTGTGAGTTGTTATCTAATCACCTTAGATGAACAACTTATCTCTACCTATTTTTAGGTGTCCAAGTTACCTATCTGAAGGTACCTGAGGTATTTTCTGCTTGTTTATGAAAAGGGGCAGAGGGACCTGGCAGAAGATGGGCACAAAAATATTTCAATAAGCATAAGTCTATCCATGCCTTTGCCATCAGTCAGCACTGCCTCCTTTGTGCCACTGAGCACATGGACACCTTGTGGGATGAAACAGGAAATTTGTCTCCTAAATATTATTTATAACTTCACAAGTGCTGGATGGGATAGAGTTGGATTGGCTTACCCTGGTTGAAGCTTTCCTGGGTCCGGTACAGAGCTGGTGTGGCAGAAGGCAAGGTTGCATTTTTGACAGACCTATTTGAATGATGATGGGTTCAATCCCAGTAGTGTGACAGGCATGTGCTTTATCCATTCCTGGGAAAGGATGAGGAGGACAGCTTTTGCTAGGAGGCAGAGACAGATTTAAAGGTGTATTTAATAGCCCCTGTCTAAAAATTTGGACTACTTCAAGGGATTGAAGTGTCTTGTGTCCCTCCATCCTCAAGTGTCAGAGGGAGATGTATGGGGTGTAGAACATTCATGTCATTTTATCTGTTTGCTTTTACATGATCTTAAGGAAGTCAGACAGCTCAATAAAAGCTTTGAATAACACTGCCCGTGTCCTCCTTGTTTGCCAGTCGCTCTCCTTATCAATGAGGTGTGTATTAAACAGCAGCTTATTAAAAAGTAATGTGCAGCTCAGCTGCAAGTGTGTGAAATAAGCAAATGCTCAACAAAACTGCTAAGTGCAGCACGTGCTGAACACCAGTGGTAGCTCTTGGCTGTAGTGGAGTCACCTCTTGCCAGTGCAGCTCTTCTCCCTCTCATGTGGTTGAATGAGGGTCGGAGGAATTGGAGGTGCCCTTCCCAGTGAGAATGTGCTGAAGGAGCGCGTTGGCTGATTCACTGCCTTGCCCCACCTCTCAGGTCACACAGGGAATCCACTGGTGGATGCACTTGCACAAGTTTGCTTCCTGGTGGCTCTCAGGATCAGTGGTTGCTCAAATTCCTCCTGCTGCTGCTATTCTTGGTTCCTTCTAAAGCTTCTGTTCTTCACTGAGCAAATCTCTCATCCCACTCTCTCTCCTTCCTTACCCACTCCACTGTCACAGATACAATTCAGGGTGCAGGCTCAGCTTGCATTCAGAGTTATCATTTGTTTTCTGCATCAGCAGGTCTCCAGCCTTTTTTCTTTTTCCATGCTGATTTTGAGCTCTCACCACCCTCAGTCCAGCACAGACTGACAGTCTCAGAAAGGCCATGGGGAAAATAGCAGTGTGCTCTTTCTTGTATGCAGAGAAAGGTTTCTTGCCTTTAATGCTTCGTGTCACAGTCAGGCCACAAGTCTGATACTTTTATCTGCTTGGTATGCTTTTATTTCATCTCTCCACATTCTCCTCCTCAAAGAGGGAGAAAAGACTGAAGTGAATCAGTGATAACTGCAGCTGTTCCTGCTGGAACAGCCATAATGCTGTATACCTCCAAGTACTTGACCACTTGTCACTATCAAGCCTCTTCAGCTTAAGGCCATAAAATAGGAATTAGCTAGTTGAATTATTTCAAGCTAACCTTCTGTTTGCAGTGCAGTAATATGGTGGCTGGTTTTTAGAAGTACAGGGGTGGTCAGAAGATTTAACTGAAAGGTAAACTGAGATGTGCATTTGTATCTCATTAGTTACTGTGTGGTAGCTGCTTTGTGTGCGTGCTGTCAGCCTTTTGCCCTTAAATTCACTGTGAAGCAAACTGCCTTGTGCTGACAGGGCTCAGGCCGTGCAGGTGAGCAGCAGAGATGGGGCACAAGGGAATGGAATTACAGTGCAGTAACTGGGTAGCTAAAAGATGGATGGTGCCCCTCTTGCAGTCCTGAGCTATGGTCTGCAAGGCTGGGATTGAACGTTTCAAGGAACAGAGCTCTGAGCAATGTCTGTGATACATTCTCTCCCTCCTGGTGTGTGCTGGTGTTCCCAGGCTTTCCTCTTCCAGGGAAATGTGATTCCTGTCCCTGCTCTGGTAGAGGTGTGTCAGTATTGGCACTGGCATGGCTTAGCCTGTGTTGTTTCGTTGGGTGGGGTGGGGGAAAGGGGAGAGGAGATAGCACAGGGTAATTGGATTCAGGGATGATTGTGCTGCTGTGCTGAGTTTTACTGGATGAAGCAGCTTGTTGCGATAGGTGTTTGTTTCAGCTGCTGTCTGCAGGTGTGACTTGGCTAGATAAGGATGGTCTATCACCTTGATGATTTCATTGTTTGATTTGGCTGGACTGGGTGGAGAATGTAGCTGCATTGTTTGGGACTAGCTTTGTAGTTTGGTTTTGTGAAGTGAATTACATGGCAGCACATTGCTACATTATTAAGGTGAAGCTGCAGGAGATAATAGTTGGAGAATGTTGGAGGGAAGAGAATCTGCACAGGCTTTCACAATGCATAACTAGTTGAGCCTCCAGCTGCTGGGTTTCTGTCAGGAGATCTGGTCAGCAGAATGCATTGGGATTGCACAGAAAAATTTCGGTGGTGATTTCAGTTTGCAGTTGTACTTTAACTGCAAGGCTGTCCATGCTGTGTAAATAGCTGAGAGTGCTCTGAGGTAGCACGCTGGCCCTGACAGCATGAGTGTTGTCTGGATTCATACTGTCTTGCAGCCTCTACAGTTTTCACAGTGGGTGAGGGAGAAGCTGGCAGGTCACTGCTGGTTTTTTTGCTAACCTCAAATTTAGCAGTAAGCTGCTCTTCAGAGCCTGTGTTTCCTTGTATTGCTGAACGTTCAGGCACTTAAACTTGCTTTGTATTCTCCTCCTCCTGTAGGGTATGCAGTGATGTGAAGTAGGAGCTGCCAGAGCAGTAGATAGTGCTTCCTCCTTCTAAAACCTGCCTGGTTTTCCCCTAGATGTGATTGCCTGGCTTTTCCTGATATTTGATGTTTCTGTTTATACATTGTCTGGCTGTGGAGGAGGTTGCATATATGAAGCACAAGGGTTTGGCAGGAGTTGCTGGGCACATTGTGAGGGGAAGGTGAGCCTTTGAAGAGAGGTGGGTGCAGAGAAGGGAAGATGACATGCCCAAGCTTTGTGCCAGCTTCTCTAAGCACAGATGAGCTCATGGGAATCCAGCTGGCTAAACTTGGGAGTTTATTTCCCTATTTCCCCTCCATGGGCAGCTGTGTCTTCCAGTGGATCTTCAATGTCTTCCAGTCTGGTGGTGGCTTCTTGGGTGCTGATAAATCTTTCCAGGCTGAGCAGAGGCTTCCCCTTGGTGGTTCAGAGCAGCTTTTGATTTCTCTGCTTCTGTGGTTGAGTGATTGGAAGGGGTGTACAGCTTATCTGTGAGTTCTTATTGGTGAAACCTTTTCTCTCCTTTTTCCAGGTGACTGTTTTTTGTGAGACAAGTGGTTTGCAACTCATGGCCTCCACGATGAGTACTGCAGTGTCGTGACACCAGGGGTCTTGGTAAGCTGCTTGTTGGAAAACCCAAGATCTACAATATCTCCACGAATGCAGATCCATCTCTTTTGTCTATGCAGTTAAAGTTTGAGTTAATTTAAAGCCATCCAAATTGTAGGCTGCAAACAAGTGGGGTGGGGCTACATTTTCACCTGTTCTCACCTCCTCTTCTGAGCTTGTAATGATAGTGATGCAGTTCCATGATCAGCCAGGTCAGGGGGAAAATCCAGCTGAATAGAAATTTCTGTTGTTCTCCTTGGGTTAGTTCCCATTCAGATCTTTGCCTGATATGGTGAGAATGAGTAGCCAGCTGAACCATCCCATTTCTCTGCAACCTTTGCCTGCCATACCTTAAAGCCATCCTGAAAATACAGCCTTGGATGTAGCTTTCCAAAATGTCGTGAAAAGTGGTTTGACCATTCACTGTCACTGACCCTACCTCTAATTTTAAAGCAATGATACAGGCTTTGCTATGGTAGGCAGACTCCAGCTGCAGAAATATATTTCTCTAGAGCTTTTCCATTATTGAACCCTAGATTCCCAGGCATAAATGTGTTAGAAGTGCATTGAGAAAAATCATGAGACATTCCATTTCACATTATAAAAGATGGTACATTCGCCGTGTGCAGAAATAAGAAGCTGAGGAAGTTGAGTTGCTGTTGTTCCTCCAATGAATATATTGATGTATCCTTTATAGCTCTCTCTGGTAAGAATAAATTTAAACTGAGATTGGAAAACACAGTTCCCTTGCACAGCACATCACTTCTAATATATATGGAAGATGTGTATATAGAATAAAAAAAATGTTAAAAAATTGGAGGGTTCTCCTCCCACCCCTGGGTGAAGTACTTGAAAGTTTGGTGATGTCAGGAATCCCATGATCCCATGTAGCCAGTTGATTGTGATTCTTATCTTCATGTTTTCTCATTGCACTGTGCAAGACTGGGACCCTTGAGATAATCTTGTAATAAAAGGTAACATAATGTATAAATATCCAAATGGAAAACCTGAGGATTAAGCAACAGAATACTTAAGTTCATCATGCAGGCATCTACGTCCTGCTGTAAGCATCAAGCTCTGCTCACTATTGTGCTGTTACTCCTTTTTCTCATTTTTTTTGGCCTGGAATTCACTGTATTTTCAGTCACACCTTCACCTTTAGTGAGGGTGCAGAAGTTTCACAGAGTTCCACTGGCTTTTACAGATGTGTCAATCTCTTGGAAAGCAGAGTTGGGTGCTGTTGATAATGATACAGTTTTCTTTAATGAAACAGACATAGGAGCCAAATTTGCATGCAAAGATGATACAATTTAGATATGTGTGAAGAGATTCTGTCTCCTCTTTAATGTATCTGTATAGAACCAGCTGTAATTGCAACATGATAGTAGGAGCAATAGGGATAGGGTAACTCCAACATTGTTGCCAAAATCAGTGGGATAACCAGCTAATAGCCCCAGAGAGGCATGTGGGTGCTCTGGAGTGTGTGGCTCAGGCTGGAGTTCATCTGATTATGCCTGATCAGAGGCCTTTAAAATGAGACATTTGCTGCAGAAACGTTCCCCACATGAATAGGTTCATGCAGCACAGTGGAGGTGAGAACAGGCAGTAGGATGACTTCTCTGACTCATTAAGGAGATGTGGGATAGGGAGGAGAAGTTTTTGTAGGTGATGCAGAACTTGACACAACGACTGCAGTGTGGATCATGATAAAGTAGAGCAGCACAAAGTCACTAGGGTGTGTAACAGCACAACCTCACAACTGTATAAATTTGGGGAACTGGAAAACTGTGCTGCTTAGTACTACAAGTTGCTGGTAACTCTATTTGGCCAGAGGTGATCATAGAGTGGCCATGTCTTTTAATCCTCTGCTGTCATCAGCCCATGAGCCAATTTTTTGTTTTGAAATGCAGTTTGAACAGTAGTTTCTTCATAAAATTCAAGACACTCCCATCCTAATAAGATTTATATTGTTTCATTTGGTTATATGTGGGAAGAAACTACTTCTTTGGTGCTGAGAAGGAATATTGGGAATATTTACATTTGAATAATATTTAACTAGCAATGCTTAATACATTAACAATAAATCTTGGTTAGATTCTAAATTAAGTGGATTTGCATCTGAGTAGGTGAGATGAACAGGAGAGATTTTGTTGAAACATAAACAAGACAGAAATTGGTTCCAAAATAATTTAGCCCAGAGCACGTAAACAGTAATGTTCAATAGTTTCCACCTCCAGAAACAGCTTTATGTGCCTTACTGCCTACGTCATGCATTTTGTTTCTTAGAAAGAAGCTGAAAAAGCAGCTGCTTTTTGTGTGCCCTTTTTTTTTTAAAGCCTCAATAATGTGTGGTGTGTTGCTGAGCAAATTTAGCTGGGTACTACTCCAGTGCTTTTTTGACCTTTCTAATAGATATGATGAGTGACTAACCCCTCATGCTTTCAGAGTAACCACACAGAGCAGTAACTTACAGGTGGTCAGGAAGGCATTTTATTTTATTTTTCTCCCTTTGTGTAACCCTTAGCACACATCATTGAACATGTGTCTGGGTATATTGGACCAAAGAGACAAAAGATTTAAGCAGAGTTTATGTTCTTAAGAAATATCAGATTACGGCCATTCACAGGGGAATTTTGGATAGCTCAGTCATGTTGGGGATTTGTACTTTTGGCTTCCTGCTGACTTTTGAAGTGTCTTTAATGTAAGTGTTCAAATCCAAGGTGCTTCCCTGTTTTGTTGACTCCAGAATGATTTGCTTTGGACAAAGGGAAGATGGCCTCACTGCCTGTAAACTCAATGGCCAGCCTGGGCTGCCTCTGGTCTGAAATACACATCTGTCTTCTCGGGAATGGGGGAAGAACTGCCATGCATAGCTCCACAGCAGACACATCTGCTTGGGAAGTTCCTCATTGGTTTTCTGTTCTCTCCTTGTGGGGTGCTTTGCAGTGTGCCCTGGAGATGCGAGACTTCCCCTGGGCAGCAGGAGGCACGCATCTAGAGAATGCTGGAGCTGCAGGAGGGAAGTGGCCAGTGCAAAAGCAGCGAGGAGCCAAGAGAAAAAAGGCAAGCAGGCAGCCAGCACTGAGAGGAGCGGGCGGCAGGAAGCGCTTCGACGCTGCCTCTGGCGGCACACGCTCCCCAGAGGAACTTGACGAGAGCCCATCTGCGTGTGTGTGAGACTGTGAGCTCAGGATTTCTGTCAATGCATTCCAGTAACCCCAAAGTGAGGAACTCCCCGTCAGGCAACACACAGAGGTAAGGAGAAGAGCCTGCAGTCGGCTGCTGGGGGTTGGTGCACGTTGCCATCCCTGCTCTGCTGCTGGATTAGCCCAGGGACTGTGGCAGTGTGGCTTCCTGGTCCCTCTGTGCTCCCATCAGCCTGCTGAGTACCTGAGCAGTGGCTGCACAGTGCTGGTGGTCTCCATGTTTGCAACCATGAGGCATGGATTTTCTGTTCCTTGTGCTCTCCTCCCTTCTACCAGGTGCCTGGATAGGCAGCAGGAGAATAAACCTGCTGTTTCTACCTTGGTTTTTTTCCCCTTCTCTTCTAATTATCTATTTCCTGAGAGACAGCCAGGCATCAGAAGGTCTCTCTGTACTTTCACACAAAATGCTTTCTCCATATTATTGGCTTGAACAGTCTAGAGAACTGATCAGCTGAGCACTGAGATCCTCTGCATCAGTCACCTGCCAGTGCAGCTGGGCAGCATTTCTTCTCCACTAATTTGGAAAGGCAAAAATATGAAAACAAAGCAGTGTCCAGGGACTTAGGATGGTTCTGATTGACAGCATTCTGGAGTTTGAGTTTCTACTCCTAGAGGTCATCTGGAGCTTAACAGTGTTTCAGAGGGAATGCTTCTGAGTCAGGTGTCTGTCCAGAGGAGGGAACAGCTTGTGTGAGTCCCACAGCGAGGATGCTAGGAGGAGGATGCCTGTTGGAAGTGATAGTGATGATGCTAAAACACAATGCAGAAGATCCAGTGGCAATGGAGGGTGAGGAGGGAAGGGATGCCTAATACCTGCAGAGGAGCAAAATAGTTTTAGGATGCAATTTGCTGGATGGAAGAGGAATTAAGGACTCTGAGTCTCCTTTGGCACAAACTGAGGAGGATTCATCCGCCCCATTTTACAGGAGTGTGCTTGGAGATGGTATCCTTCACTTTCCTGATTCAGGGGCAGGTTGTAGCTGGTTTAATTGTTTTCACGGTCAGAGGTTTGTGTTTCTCTGGCAGCTCGCCCCAGTGGATGACGAATGCTGCAGCAATGCTGGGTTTTCCTTGTGCTCCCTGTAGAACTGGATAGGGAGGTGCAAGGGAGGGGTTGGGGGGGTCTGCTGATCAGAGCTGCAGTGTAGTTGGGGTCCAGGAGAATGGTGAGGGGAACTTTATAGTGCCTTGTTTGTTTACTCTGAGCTGGTCTTGGTGTGAGGTGCTTCTCTGTGCACATAGAAACCGTTGTCTTTATTGACAGAAGCGCCAGAGGTGGGTCCTCATGTGACAGCAGTTTCTGGGATCTGGCAGGTCTGTGGTTTGCCCTGGTGCCTTCTTGAGCAATGAGATTCCATCTTGGATAATAACCCTTTCAGGGCATGTTCAAAAAAGCACCTGCATGACTCTAAGCTTGCAGGCATTTTTTATTTGTCAGCAATTGTCTTAGCTTGTAAAGGTGACAGTGGTTGTTTCTGCTTCACTCTAATCTGTTCCTACAGGGCTGAATGAATCAATGGTGTGATTTGTCACTTTTTCCTTTTCTTTCTTTTTTTTTTTTCTCTCTACCCAGTAGCCCCAAATCAAAGCAGGAGGTGATGGTCCGTCCCCCTACAGTGATGTCCCCGTCTGGCAACCCTCAGCTGGATTCCAAATTTTCCAACCAAGGCAAACAAGGGGGCTCCACCAGCCAATCTCAGCCCTCTCCCTGTGACCCCAAAAGTGGAGGTCACACCCCCAAAGTGCTCCCGGGCCCGGGTGGGAGTATGGGGCTGAAGAATGGGGCTGGAAATGGTGCCAAGGGGAAGGGGAAGAGAGAGAGGAGCATTTCAGCAGACTCCTTTGAACAGAGGGAAGCTGGGACTCCCAATGATGACCCAGAAATCAAAGGTACGTGTGCTACACGGTTCATGTGCAAGTGCAGACACTTAGTCTGAATCTTCTGTAAGATGGAGAATTGCTCTGCAATTTTGTTTGTCTGGGGCTCTCAAAGTTCCAGCCAATGAAGTTCTAAAGGTCTTGAAAGCAGGCAAAGAGGAGAGGTTGTCATAGCTGGCATTGGTAAATGTCTTGTTCACGCTCGGTTAGAGCCCAGACCTGACTCTGGTGGGAAAGTTCCTTTGTAACTCTTAAACTCCCCCAGAGGATTTATAAGTACAAATGCAACCTGTTGGTCTCCTTCTGGCCTTTGGCCTTTCAGGAACTGTTCTCTTGTAACTGGGGTTTTAACAATATGCAGGTCTGTTTTGTCAACATAGATACATAACCCATAGCACCCTGACTGGTAACACAAGCCAGAGAGCTGGGATTCCTGTTCCTGGCTCCAGCATTGCCTCTGTGAGACAGTGCAAAACCTGACCACATGTTCTCTTGTTCCATCTTTGCTAGGTCACCTAGCTAAGGTGGATGAGCAAAAGAAAAATTCAAGTTTTGCAGGAGTGTTTTCCTGAGGCAGATATATTTATCTTTGTTCCTACATAAAAGTGTAGTTTTCCTGCTTTTTTATGTGGTCATTAGAGAATTCAAAGAGATCGGTTGTGGGAACTGCCACTTTCCTTGGAAAAGGACACAAGAGGAGCTTTCTCCCAGTGTTGCTTGAAGTACACCAAGGCTTTAGAGGAAAGACATGTGGTGTAATAGAAGAATTGCCTTCAGTGCTTGAGGAAGAAGCAGGAAATTTCAGAGGAGAAAAAGCTCTGATCATTTTCCAGAATTGATTTGCAAAGAGATCCCAAGATAGTGATTCCCTTCTTTTCTCCTTTGTCCCTTTCCAGACTGCAATTCTGCTGATCATGTGAAGTCCCAGGAGTCTCAGCACACACCACACTCCATGACTCCTTCAAATGCTTCAGCCCCAAGGTCTTCCACACCTTCCCATGGTCTAACTGCCACTTTGGAGCCAGCAAGTGGGCAGAAGACTCCATCCAAAGTGGTTTACGTCTTTTCTACTGAGATGGCCAACAAGTAAGTAGGTAGCTGCTTGAATGTCTTCTGAGAGCAGGAATTGCATTTGTGCTCATCTTTTAAGAGATGATCAAGGGCACTTTCTGCATCAAGTAGCAAAAAGTCATTACTTATTTTGGGGATGCTGAAGAGGTTGGAGTGGACCATATTCCTGCCTTCTTTGCTCTGAGAAGTAATTGTTTCATTCTCTGAGGTATGGGTATATATTTTTTTTTGGCAAATAGTGGTGGATATTGTTTTGCAATCCATGCAATGAATAGAAGCCAGGATGGCTTAAACTGAGACGTGAACCCTGAATGCTGATGAGTTTGTAGTCGTAAGCATTTTTCTTTTGCTACTCATCTAGAGTGAAATATGTGTGGCTAAATCTTTCTCCCTTTTGCCAGCTGAAAGATAGAAAGGAGGCCAGTTAAGAAAAATTGCTTCTTGGTTTCAACTGGATGTGTGCATCTGCCTGTCTGTCTTTGCAGGGCTGCAGAAGCTGTGCTGAAGGGACAGGTGGAAACCATCGTGTCCTTTCATATCCAGAACATCTCAAACAGCAAGGTGGAACGAAACACTGTACCCTTGGTAGGGAATACCTGCATGGGGGTGAGAAGGGGAAATTGTAAATGGGCCTGTGTCTGGTTCTGAGAGATGGATGATTATTCACGCTCTGAAATAAGTTTTAGGAAGACAGACAGTTGTCATTCAGACTGTCTGCAAATAAATGTCTTGGGTCACCCAAAGAAGAGTTAGAGTCTTGCAATATTTTGGTAGAGTATTTCCAACGTGTAGGTCATGCAGAACTAGCATAGACAAAAGGGGTCCCTGCAGTAATGCCTTGAGCAAAGTAGGTTTGTGCATTGCCAAGAGGCTGCTGTGTAATTGCTGCATGAAGGCAAATTTTGGGCTGGTGGGATTGAGATTGGGTGTTTTGTTTGCACTGCTGCTGATGTGGCATGGCTGGAAGAAGAGCAAGTGACTGAGTGTGGCTTTCTCTTGCAGAATCCTCAGATCACTGCACTTCGGACTGAACCCAAGGCCCTGCCACAGCCCCAGCCCCCTGCTGCCCAGGACCAGAACCCTCCCCAGAATGCCAAAATGCAGCCGACCCCGCCCGTGTCAGCGCCAGTATCCAAACCCACCGGCCCCCCATGTCCCATAGATCAGGACAGTCCCAGTGTGGAAAGCAAAGTGATGTCTGTGGGCAGCCCTGCCAACTCTACCCCATTGCAGACAGAAGGATTTGGGCAGAGTTCAACCCCCAATAATCGAGCGGTTAGCCCAGTTTCCCAAGGTAGCAATAGCTCTGCTGCAGACCCCAAAGGCCCTCCCCAGCAGGGGTCTGGTGGGGACCCATCCAGCTTGGGTGAGAACCCCGATGGACTGTCCCAGGAGCAGCTGGAGCACCGAGAGCGCTCGTTGCAGACCCTGCGGGACATCCAGCGCATGCTCTTCCCCGATGAGAAGGAGTTTGCAGGAGGGCAGAGTGGGGGGCCACCCCCAAACGCTGGGGTGCTGGATGGTCCCCAAAAGAAACCCGAAGGGCCGATACAGGCTATGATGGCTCAATCCCAAAGTTTAGGCAAAGGGTCGGGGTCTCGGACAGATGGAGGGGCTCCGTTTGGCCCTCAAGGACACAGGGACATGCCTTTTTCCCCAGATGAAATGGGGCCACCACCAATGAACTCCCAGTCAGGAGCCATAGGCCCAGACCACCTGGACCACATGACTCCTGAGCAGGTGGCCTGGCTCAAGCTGCAGCAGGAGTTTTACGAGGAGAAGAGAAGGAAGCAAGAGCAGGTGGTTGTGCAGCAGTGTTCCCTGCAGGACATGATGGTCCACCAGCACGGGCCTCGTGGCATGGTCCGAGGTCCTCCCCCTCCCTACCAGATGACCCCTGGTGAGGGCTGGGGACCTGGGGGTCCGGAGCCCTTCCCTGAAGGCATGAACATGTCCCACTCTCTGCCCCCCAGGGGCATGGCCCCTCATCCCAACGTGCCCGGGAGCCAGATGCGCCTGCCTGGTTTTGCAGGAATGATGAACCCTGACATGGAAGGCCCCAGTGTCCCGAATCCCGCCTCACGGCCTGGGCTTTCTGGAGTTAGTTGGCCAGATGATGTGCCAAAAATCCCAGATGGGCGAAACTTCCCTCCTGGTCAGGGTGTCTTCAGTGGCCCTGGCCGAGGGGAGCGATTCCCCAATCCGCAGGGTCTGCCTGAAGAGCTCTATCAGCAGCAGCTGGCTGAGAAACAGATGGGCCTCCCTCCTGGTCTGAACATGGAAGGCATCAGGCCCGGCATGGAGATCAACAGAATGATGCCCTCCCAGAGACACATGGAGCCTGGGAACAACCCCATCTTCCCTCGCATGCCGGTAGAAGGACCGATGAGCCCATCTAGGGGGGACTTCCCAAAAGGAATGCCCCCACAAATGGCTTCTAGCAGGGAGCTGGAGTTTGGGATGGGCCCTGGCAGCATGAAGGGGGACATGGGCATGAATGTCAGCATGGGCTCCAATCCACCCCTGGTCCCTCAGAAGCTGAGGGAGGCAGGAGTTGGGCCGGAAGAGATGATGAAGCTGCGCCCCGGCGTGTCGGAGATGCTCTCCTCTCAGCAGAAGATGGTGCCGCTGCCGTTTGGGGAGCACCCGCAGCAGGAGTATGGCATGGGTCCCAGGCCTTTCCTTCCCATGTCTCAGGGCCCGGGAGTCGGTCTGCGGAATCTCAGAGAACAGATGGGGCCTGACCAAAGGACTAACAACCGGCTCAGCCACATGCCGCCACTACCTCTCAATCCCACCAGTAACCCGAATAGCCTCAACACTGCTCCCCCTGCACAGCGCAGCCTCGGCCGCAAGCCCTTGGATATCTCTGCGGCTGGCCAGGTGCATTCGCCAGGCATCAACCCCCTCAAGTCCCCCACCATGCGCCAGGTCCAGTCTCCCATGATGGGGTCTCCCTCGGGGAACCTCAAGTCCCCTCAGACGCCCTCCCAGCTGGCAGGAATGCTCGCGGGCCCCACTGCCGCAGCTGCTGCTGCCTCCATTAAATCCCCCCCTGTCTTGGGGTCTGCTGCTGCTTCTCCTGTCCACCTCAAGTCTCCGTCTCTCCCCGCACCTTCTCCTGGATGGACTTCATCTCCAAAGCCTCCTTTGCAGAGCCCTGGCATTCCCCCGAACCACAAGGCGTCTCTAACCATGTCTTCTCCAGCCATGCTGGGGAACGTGGAGTCGGGTGAGTGCAGCCTCTGCTAGCCAGACTTGGTGCTTTGGTTCGTGTTGGGTCATCCAAGATGTGCAGCACAGGGAGGGAGGAGGGCTCCTGCAGCAGGATAAGAGCTGGATGTCCTTTTCCCTATTTGAGGGGGGCTCTGCCGAGGGTTTGGTGGTGAGGGCTTCTCCTCCTCCTGTTGTATTTGTGGGTTTGTGCCGTGCCTCCCATGTGTTGAGCTCAGGGCTGATCACTCTGAGGATGTAAAAGCAAAAGGATGGGGTTAAGAGGTGTGAAAAGATATGGAGAATTGATGGGGGAAATCTCTCCTTGGAAAGGTCTTGTGCTGTTCTTCCATAGCTCATAGTCATTGTATCTCAATGGAGAAGATCCTCTTGATGTTATTAAAGCACTTTGGTATAAAAGGTTCCTACAAAAACATGCAGAGCACTTAACCAGCTGTGTATCTAGACACAGTCAGGAATGGTTGGTCATTGGTAGGTTTACATTGCAGACAGGAAGTTGTGATTCAGTTATTCAGACTTGTAGCATTTTGGAGCCATCTAACCACTGCTGTACATAACACTTGGTTACATGCTGAGCTGTGCTGTGCCTGGGACCTTGGGGTCCCGCTGCTGGCACACCTCTGCACTCACCTTCTCAAAGCTCACCCACCCTTCAGTGCAGGCTTCCAGAGCAGCCTGGCCTGGGCAGCCTTCCCGCCCGGGAAATTCTCCTGGCTGGAAAGTGGAGCCCTTTGCCCACGTTGCCCTCTAGTGCTGCCGCGGGTAACGGCGGGGACCGGCACCGGGATGTGCCTGTGGGGTCGGCGGCTCGGGAGGGCACCAAAGTGCTTCAGTCTGTGCCTTACTTAGTGCTAATGAATGCTTTGACATGTAGCTCTTCCAAACCATGGATCTTTTGGCATTGCAGTTTTTTTGTATTCTCTATTTTCATTTCCTCTTTTGGTTGGGAGGGGCTGAGGAGCGTGCAGTGAATTTTCAGTGAGAGTACAGCTTCAGTTTAGCGTCTGCACATTGGTCTGGGTGGCGTAAAATTCATCAGTGAAGAACAAAGGAGATTGGAAGTGCAGCTAAGTTACTTCTAGTTTTGTGAGAGGAAAGGATGACATTAAGCAAATAGGTGCAGAGAATCTTTCTTGCACTGGAATAAGCAGCTAATATCTCTATATGAAACAAGAAATGCAATGTAAACAGGGAGTTTTACTTGTAGCTCCTGATGCAGCTTGTCACAAATGTGCTTGCATGTCTCAGCATAATATCTGCTACAGCTTGCCTTGTGCTGCCTGTGTCTTTTTTCATTTTAGATTTTGATTTTTATGGCTAGCTCTGGTACCTAAAACTGTCTTCAGTGTATGAAAATTGAATAGTAAGATTTTCAGACTAAACTGATAATTTTTCATGTGGATTTGTGGAGGCTCAAGGTAGTTCTAGTTAGAAATGTTATGCAGTAGAATAACAGATATTAATCAACTTGCCCAATAGGCTTATTTTTCTGGTTACCTTTCATAATCGTTGACTGCATTAGTCATGTAAAGTCTTGCAATAGGAAAGATTTCTAGTTTTTGAGATTTCTAAGGGAAAAGAGTTTGATTTAAGAAACAGTAAGAAGGAGAAAAAATTAAATTCATTCTCTTTTTCTTTTCTTTTTTTTCCTAAGGTGGTCCACCTCCTTCCACAGTCAGCCAGTCTGCTCCTGCGACTCTCCCTGGAAATCTTCCCTCTAGCAGTCCTTACACAATGCCTCCAGAGCCAACCCTGTCCCAGAATCCCCTCTCCATTATGATGTCCAGGATGTCCAAATTTGCCATGCCCAGCTCTACACCGCTCTATCATGATGCCATCAAAACTGTGGCCAGCTCGGATGACGACTCCCCTCCAGCGCGCTCCCCAAACTTGCCACCTATGAACAGCGTACCAGGTAAGAAAATCAAAGGCACGTAAGCACCACGCATCAGGGTGATTTCATGGAAACCTCATCAAATGAAGACAATGAGATGGGAAAAAACTTGAGGAATATGTAGCCATGGGTTGTTTTTGAGGAAACATTTACAGTTCTCTGAAATGGAAATTCTCCTTGTAACTGTTTTTTTCTGTCCAGAAAGTGTGCATTCTTCAGAAGGTGTCCAACATGGAAAGTGCTTGTGTATGGGAGAGATTGTCCCTCAGGCAGACTGGGATTGTTTGTGTGAATGAAGGCTGCTCATGGGATTAAGGGTTGGACCTACAATGTGTTATCCAGAGGAAACTTTACCTCTCCTGTCTTAAGACAGTGCCATAGAGGCTTCACTGTTTTTGGGGGGGTTTGTTTGGACACTGAATCATCAAAAACATAAAAGTAGGCTGTAGCACCTCCACCCTATTGAATTATAGCTGAAAAAGGGAATGAGCAGATGTTTCAAGAGAGTGGCAATTGGTAATGATTTCTTGATGAGTTTACCTGTAGCTTTGCAGTGTGTTTCACACAGTAATGGCTGGATATATCTGGGGAAACGTGGCTAATTGCTTAAGTTCATGATGGTAACTCATTAACCTCATTGATCAGTGCCTCTTAGTCTTATGAAGGTTACCTGATTTATCACTGCTGAGTTTTGAAAGGAGTTCTGGTCGCTTCCCAGTGGACAAGTGTCCATATGCTGATAATCTGTCACAGACATGTTTGCTACTGCCTGTGTCATCCAGACAGCAAGGGAGGTAGTAAAAGTATGGTTTGGATTGAAATCCTACTTATGGAGCAGGCTTTTGTCACTGATAGGGCAGTGACAAGGTTAGGGAGGTGGCTGTTTGACTGGCATCGAATTTCTGGTCAAACTAACACTTTTCAAAGCCACTGCTGATGTTTTTTTTACTAGCACTATATTTTTTGTGTGTGTGCAGACTTGGTAACCTTGCAAAAAGCTCTCTGACAGCTTTATTGATTATTGCTGGTTGTTGTCTAAATGTGATTCCTTGTTTCTTCCCTAGGAATGGGCATTAATTCTCAGAATCCTCGAATTTCAGGTCCAAACCCAGTGGGTCCAATGCCAACCCTTAGCCCAATGGGAATGACCCAGCCTCTTTCCCATAACAACCAGATGCCCTCTCCAAATGCGATGGGACCCAATATACCTCCTCACGGGGTCCCCGTGGGACCCGGCCTGATGTCACACAACCCAATGATGGGGCATGGTTCCCAGGAGTCTCCAATGGTACCTCAAGGACGCCTGGGCTTCCCGCAGGGGTTCCCTCCCGTACAGTCCCCTCCACAGCAGGTGCCATTTCCACACAACGGGCCCAGCGGTGGACAGGGCAACTTCCCAGCAGGAATGGGCTTCCACGGAGAAGGACCTCTGGGGCGTCCTACCAACCTGCCCCAAAGTTCGACAGATCCAGCACTTTGCAAGACTGGAGGCCCTGGCGGTCCAGACTCCTTCACTGTTCTCGGAAACAACATGCCTTCGGTTTTCACCGATCCAGAGCTGCAGGAGGTGATCCGTCCCGGAGCCACGGGAATACCCGAGTTTGACCTGTCCAGGATTATCCCGTCGGAGAAGCCCAGCCAGACACTACAGTATTTCCCTCGTGGGGAGGTGCCGGGCCGCAAGCAGCCGCAGGGTCCCGGGCCCGGCTTCTCCCACATGCAGGGGATGATAGGAGAGCAGACCCCGAGGATGGGACTAACATTGCCCGGCATGGGGGGCCCCGGGCCGGTGGGAACTCCGGATATCCCCCTGGGCACGGCTCCGTCCATGCCTGGTCACAACCCGATGAGGCCGCCGGCCTTCCTGCAGCAGGGCATGATGGGGCCGCACCACCGCATGATGTCACCAGCACAGCCCGCCATGCCCGGCCAGCCCGCGCTCATGAGCAACCCCGTGGCCGCCGTGGGCATGATCCCGGGCAAGGACCGCGCCCCCGCCGGCCTCTACAGCCACCCGGGCCCCGTGGGCTCGCCCGGCATGATGATGTCGATGCAGGGCATGATGGGACCCCAACAAAACATCATGATTCCCCCCCAGATGAGGCCCCGAGGTATGGCTGCTGATGTTGGCATGGGAGGATTTAGCCAAGGCCCTGGAAACCCAGGGAACATGATGTTTTAAGCTGCTACCATAAGACTGGATGTTCTGATCCTTGTCAAGATGAGATTCCAAGTCCTGAGGGCTTTTTTGGGAGCTTCAGGAGTACAGTTTGGCCATGCAATAGGTGAAAAGAGACCAGAGGATGCTTTGGGAAATCTCGAATGTATGGAATTACCTGAAAAAAAAATATTCATTTTAACAGGTTGTTTTTTTTTTAAGATTTATTTTTTAAAAATTATTTTTGTGGACTTGGGTATCCCGTGACGGCACCTGCTTTGAGAATCTGTAGCTGTATTTTGAGAATTGCCATTTGTCACAAGTTGCACCATTCTCTGTATGTTTACGTCCTTCGGACTGGCTTCTCCCAGGACTCTCGGTTATTTTTGGGGTTTTTTGTGTACTGTACTATATTGTAAAAGGGATTTTAGCAGAGACTTTAGTCTTTGGGGTGAGAGGAGAATGGGATTCTAGGCTGTTTACTTTAGGTGGAGAATCCATCTTCAGAACTTCGGACTATTTTCCTTCAACTCCAATGTATAGAAAAACCAAACTACGACCTCAGAGCAGAGTATTAATGAAAAGCACAAAAAGGAACTTAAGTTCAGTGAGGGGAATCTTTTAAAAGAAATAAATAATAAGTTAAGGACATATTTTTCAAATTATGGCGTGCTGTCCAGCACCTTCTGTCTCTCCCTCCCACTCTTTATTAAATAGGCTTCTCTCTCTCTCCGTCCCCTTCTGTCTCCTCCTATGGCAGCTGCAATACATTGTGTTATTTTGGGGAGTAAATCTAGGAGAGCCTCTCCTCACGTGGGGACTCTTCCCACTTTTTGGAAGGGGCTGGACTTGGACACTGTTACATCCTACAGTAGTCTCTCTCACTGTTTCCTATTCTCCTTTTCTTAGAAACCCCAAGTGATTTTATTAATGTGGGAGTGGAACAGACACTAAAAGTTATCCAGGATTTTTTTTTGTGGTTATTTTTTTTTCCTCCCCAGCGTAAAACGTTCTGTGTAACCTCCATTAAATTTGGTACAAAACCACTCGCCAGGGCTGTGGTGTCAGAAAAATAAAATATATTGTTTCTTACAAAAATGAACTGTCTCCTTTATCCAGTCCAGTTGTTTTTGTCCAGATCAATCAGCTGGCCAGATGACTGTTTGCTCTTCCTTTTGATCACAGCCAGTCTAGAGGCCAGGTGGGCTAAACTTTGACAGCTCCTAAAAGTCTGGTCAATAGGCAGCTGTGTGCTCCTTTTGAGGCAATTCTGTTAACTTAATTCTGACCTGAGCTTGTTTTCCCTTGGAGTGAGGTCTTATTTCAGAGCACCCCAGGAACTATACTTACAGACTTCCTCAGTTTGTTGAGGGTCAAGGAACAGATGAAACTTGTCTCCGTCACTTCCTCCTGGAGAGTGTTTGCAGCCCTGCACGGTGCACGGGTTTGAGCTCCCCCTGAGCAGCAGTGTCCGTCTGCCCAGGCACTGGGATTGTGTCCCTCTCTGGGGACTGGATTGGGTCAGGTCTCTGACTGCCAGCACTGAGAGCCTGAGATGCTGGGGAAGGATGAACTTTAATAACAAAGGTGAGAGAGAAATTGTCAGTGAGCAGATTTTTATCAAGACAGCCCTGCTGAGTAAATTGTTGCTTTGCCACAGTTCTCATCGATTGCTTCCTAATCCCCTGTCTTTTCAAACTTGCCTTTTGAGAGGATTTCACTGAGGAGGTTTTATGGTCCTGCTTATGAGGAGTGAAAGGATGGCTGACAAAACATGGATTGGGAGTTGAGCCCTGCTACTGGAGGATACCAGCATGAGCCAGATATGGATCTGTAGGCCAGGGTGTGGGCTCTGTGGCTGGCTGTTCACTGGTCCCCCAGCACTGTATATGGAGTGGGTAATTTGTTCTTCCTTCCACTTACTGCTACTTAAAACTATTTCAATGAGTAGTTTCTTCAGAGGGCTGGCCATTAGTGTGAAAATTCATGTGGAGAATCAGTATTTTTAACATGCTTGTGTGTGAGAATTTTTTAGAGTTAACTGATCCTTAAGAGGTGGGAAAAGAATTCCTCTTGGTGGCTGATTTACTCAACTTTGGTTGCTGGTGTTATAAAATGAGTGAAGCCATGCAATGTTGGAGGCACGCAAGCCTCAGAGCCTTCTGTTGTCTGCTTCCAAATTCACCTTTGTGCTGTCATGCAAATTTACGATGATTTTGGGTGAGAATTACTCTTTTGACAAAGTGTAGGATGTCTGTTGTGGTGCTTCCCTCTGACAAGACAGGCAGCGTGAAGCACGGGCTTGTCAAGATTTTGGAAAGAGATGACAATGACACAGTAAGTGTTATTTCTGTAGAGTGGAATTACCTCTTCTTTAAGTGGTTGCACAGCTCCCTTTTGAGGACCTTGCATGAGAATTGTTACAATGCAACCTTTTTAAGTGTTGCCACTTCTGCCATCACTCCTGACTGTTTTTACCATGTTGAACAAAGCAAAGTTCTTGATCAACATAGAAATGAACAGAAGGTTTTGGGATTTTTTTAAACTGTCGTAGGGCCTCCTATGCCTGTTAAGATTTTGAATAGCAAAGGATTTGAGGTGGCTGTGACTTATTCTAGGAAAATTAGCATAGGAAATTCACTGTTTCAAAGCCACCGAACAGTGAGAGGATACATTTTAAACATACTGTATAATTAAAGTTCCTTCTGTGTCTAATTTATGATGCTGGCATTTGGTATCTTAGTAAGATTTTTCCTACAGGAAGTGCAGAAGATGTGGATTCTCCTTAGTCCACATAGGTGCACTCAACCTCAGTGTTTGCACCAGCAGATGAACAAGAGTTGCTAAGGTCTTAACTGGCTCCAGTTGTGAAAATGACTGTGTAGATGTATGTAGATGAACTTCTTTGTTTTGCTCTGATTCCATTTCTTCCCTTTTTGCTTTGCAAATGGAAAAGCTTTCTAGCTGTCAGCCTTGTGGATTCACCTGAGGATCTGTAAGTCAGGATCTGTTCCCTCCTGCTCATCAATAGTAACTGTGACTCAGCTTTGGTAGTCATGGTACAGTTGAAGATGGAAAGTGGGTTGCCATTTTTAGTTTTCTTCCCCCCCCTCCCATTTTTTTTTTTTAAGCTTTCAAATCATCCTCCTCCACCTTTGTTTGAAAGAATGAAATAGACTTTATTCATACATGCTTGGCTGCTCTTCCTCTCTAGTAACATGGGAGGAAACAGTCTGCTGTTCAAATTATCTCATCCCAGATGGCTGCGCAGCCGGAGTGTGGAGAGACTTAAAAGGTAAACCCAGCAGATGGTGAACTTCTGAAATGCGAAGTAATGTGCCTGCTAAATCAAAAGTTTTAAATATTTGAAATCTGTTTGTTTTAAATTAGTAGACTTGCACTCAGGTCAAGTGTGAAGTACACGGGCAGTTTTAAGCACCATCCAAATAAACTGGAGATTTGTACCTGGATCATGGACCAGCCAATCTGCCAAAGAAGATGACAGCAAGGAGCCAGCCTTAGGAGTTTAGTCCTGGCATCCTTGGGGTGTCTAATGGGTCACATTTTGGAAGACAGACCTATGTGTGGAGATCTGCTCTGCATCAGTCTTGGTTGGGATTTGAATGCTGCCAGTGCTTCTGGTACAATACATGTGTCCTGATTGAGAGTAGATGTGGGTGCCCAAATCTTTCTGAGGGTAAGTTGAAGTGCCCCATTTTTTGTTCCCCCAGTGTTGGGACTTTTATAAATAGGGTATATGCAGGGCTTAATTTTGAGGTGCTTTGTGTGCTCTCTGCTGTGTTGGTTTTCACTCGGGTGGCAGGACAGGCTACATTTTATTGGTGGTATGTGGTGGTGTTCACAGGGTCCCAGGATGAGGGAAGAGATGAGAATCTTGACTCCATATTTCAGAAGGCTGATTTATTATTTTATTATATATTATATTAAAAGAAAATTGTATATTAAAACTATACTAAAAGAATAGAAGAAAGGATTTCATCAGAAAGCAAGGAAAGGAAAAAGAATAATAAAATCTTGTGACTGCTCACAACCTCGACACAGGTGGCTGTCATTGGTCATCAAGTAAAAACAATTTCACATTGTGGGTAAACAATTCTCCAAATCACATTCCAAAGTAGTAAAACATGGAGAAGCTGAAGCTTCCCAGATTCTCAGGAGAAAAGATCCTAATGAAAGGGTTTTTCAGAAAATATGTCTGACAGTGGTGTCCTTCTTCAGTCATGATGGTGAATGGTTTCCTTGTGCAGCCTTACCAGGCTGCTGGCTGAAACCTGTTCCCTAATGGGACACTTCTTGAGGAAAAATGATCCATGTTTGATATAGGCCTGTATTTACTAAAATGTACTTTACTTTGTTAGTTGGTAGTCATTTTTAACCTAAAATAGTTAATGACACAGAAAAAAAAAAAGTGATGCTGTTTTGTTTGGGATACTGGGAAATTGTTGATTTCTGAGACTTTTATTCCACATTCTCAGGAATGCCTCAGCTCTTCCATGCTGTGTTTTCAATACAGTAGCTCCCACTTATCTGTGTCTTTTGGTATTAAAACTCTTCCACTGTCCAACCAATCCTCTTCTGAAATGATCATTTACACTAGCTGTGGTCAGAAATAACTCCTCTATCCTGTGGGCCACAACTGCCATGGAAGAGATGGACCATTGCATGGCCCAACCACTTTACACTGAGGGCAAAGGTAAGGCTAGAGCAGGGCAGAAGGGGCACTGCAGAAACCCTGCAAGAGCCAGTGAAGTGACCTGTTCCCAGTGGTGCCTTCCTCCAGGCCGCTGGCCTGCTTTTCTCAGGTCTTCTGCTGTTACTGAAATTTGTGTTAGCCTGCCTAGAGTGATAGGAGGATCTTAATTCTGTAAAAGCAGTGCCCTCTTGAGCAACTTGTGCTTCTAAGTGCTCTGGCTTGTGGCTGTGTTGCAACTTTTTACCTTGCTGCTGGTCAGCTTTGTTAGGGATGCTCCTAGTTATTGTTTAAGAATAGGTATGTGAATTCCCCTTTGGTATGGCCAAAGTTCCTGATTCCTTTTTCCAAACAGTTCATGCCTCACAAATAACTTGTAATTGTAGACCTAGTATTTCGTCACTGTTCCCCAAATACTTGAAACTGTGTATAAGAGGGAGCTTGATAAGAGCAGAACACACTGTTCCTAAGGAGGGGTAGGCATTGATTTTTATGTAGTGGCATTATGGTTTCAGGCTGTACAAAAACTTGATGGAAAATAACAATGTCGTGTTTGCTTTTTTTGACAGCTTCTAATAGCAGTTCAGTGAGACCTCCAGCAATGTATTTAGCATTCAAATTATTCTGTTCGCTGTGCGTGGTGTCAACATGCAATTGTGGTGGGGGCAGGCTAATGAAAGGGTAGGGGTAAATCCAGTCCATTCTTCTTAGGGAACAGGTGCTCTAGTGCCTCCATCACATACCTGTCAATGGCTTACATTAAGTGATTTTTTCACTAAGTGAAAAGAGGTAACACAGAACCTAAATTGCAGGGCCATTTTAATAAATGGTCCCCCTGTTTTAACCTCTGCTAATCCCAAGGGATGTAGGGACCATGTTTTATTTACTTACATAAAAGTGGAGATCTTTTTTAATGAAATAGTCAGTGAGATGGAGTGCACCCTCAGCAGGTTTGCAGAAGACACAAAGTCAAGTGGTGCTGTTGACGCAAGAGAAGGACCTGGACAAACTTGAGAAGTGAGACTGTGAGAACCTAGTGGTGTTCACCAAGTCCCAGTACCTGGTGCTGCACCTGGCTCAGGGCAATCCCACACATGAGACCAGCCTAGGAGAAGTCATTGAGGGCAGCCCTGTGGAGAAGCACTTGGGAATTGTGGTGGATGTGGACATGAGCCAGCACCGTATGCTTGCAGCCCAAAAACCCAACCATGTTCTGGGCTGCATCCAGAGCCCTGTGGGCAGCACTCAAAGAGGGGATTCTGCCCCTCTGTTCTGCTCTGCTCTGGTGAGACTGCACTGCAGTGCTGCATCCAGCTCTGGGGCACCCAGCACAAGAAAGATTTGGACCTGTACAGATCAGTTCAGAGGAGGCCACAAAGATTATCAGAGAACTAGATAGCTTCTGTTATGAAAACAGGCTGAGAGAATTGGGGCTGCTAAGCCTGGAAAAGAGAAGGCTGCAGAAGGACTTCAGAGCAGCCTTCCAGTGCCTAATGGGGGGCTCTTTACATGGGCAGACAGTGATAGGATAAGGGAGAACAGTTTTAAACTAAAGAGGAGAGATTTAGGTTAAATTCTTTACTGTGAGAGTGGTGAGGCACTGGCACAGATTGCACAGAGAAGCTGTGGATGCTCCATCCCTGAAAGTGTTTAAGACCAGGCAGGATGGAGCTTTGAGCTGCCCAAGTAGATGGCATCCCTGCCCATGGCAGGGGCTTGGGACTATATGATCTTTAAGGTCCCTTCCAACCCAAACCATTCTGGTTCTGGGACTTTGGCAACATTGTGATTCTTACAGGAAAAGCTGTCATCTCAGCCAGAAGTAGTGCTGTTGGTTAGTGCTGTCTGCCTATTTCATCAAGGGCAAAATAGGTCACTGCTGCCCAAAGCTGAAGTCGATAGCAGCTCCCCAGACTTCCTTGTTTAAAGCACATTAAGCAGAGTTCACCAAGATTGTGTGTTATTGTACTTGGCCCACTGTGGTTGTTCTGCATGTTCATGGCAGAATTTCCATAATTAGAGGAGTGCAGGGAAGAGGTTTGGAGGCTTGCTGTCCCTTTGGAGATGTTTCCCGTGCACAAAAATGCCCTCAAGAAGATGGGGTAGCTAAATGATGTGCAATTAGGGAGGCTCATCTGTCTGCAGAAAGCAACCCTCCAAAATGCCAAAAGAAAGGGAAAGGCACAATGGCTTCTGCAGTTTATCAAACATAAAATCAATGTTATGTCAAAGCTTTCAAGGCTGGTAGCACAGAGCAAGCTGGGCTTCATCCCACAGTCCCAGCATATGAGGAAGAGGCATGTTTTGTCAATACTCCTGATACAGATGGGCAATTTTAAATGGTCTGTTCTCACCCTCGCTGTTTTCAGCCTCTCCCTGCTTTTGTGTGGTCACCTCAGAAGTAAACTTGAGCCATTCTGTCACGTGGCTTCTTTCAGCCTGCTGCTAACAGTGTAAAGTGACACTGTGCCACCCTGTGTCTGGTAGGAAAATGTCCCCTCATCTAAAATACATTTGCAATAGAGAAGACTAGCAAGGACATAAAGAATAACAGTCGAAGATTGTGACAATAAATTGTGACTAACTTTAATTTATAACTAATTATGAGTTAGTTTTTCAAATCCTGTCCACTTTGCAGCACAGGTTGTTGTACTTCTCTGGAGTGAGTGAGTACCGTGAAATAACTTCCAGAAATTCTTCGAGTGGGCAGAGTCCTGTTTTACAGCCTTTCACCACTTGCTCCTGCAAGGCAAAGAGACAGAATCACAGATATTGTGCACTGCCAAAGCCCTTTTTTGCTGCATGGTGGATCCACAAGCCCAAGATTTGTAGGAGGGACTTGCCACAGGATCTCACCTCTCCCTGGTAGGTCATGCGCACAAACCACTCCTTGGTGCGCCGGTGCTGGTACAGTTCCAGGGCCACATCAGCAGCATAAGGTGGCCACTTGTTATCAAAGGTGCCCAGTGCCAGCAGGAGAGGAATAAGAGTGGAGTCATGAGAAGCGTAGAGGAAGAGCTTTCTGGAAAAAAAAAAACGGGAGAAGACAGACCTGGAATGTCAGTTGTGTTCCTCCATGGATAGGCAGTAGCACTCATGCTTTTTTAGCAGGTGAGCACTCCTTTTAATCCCACACATTCAATGTCTTTCTGAACCAGTTTTTCACAGTGCCATCAAGTTAGAATTTATAATGATTAGAGGAGGAGTTCGAGGAGGAGTTCTGTGCTGTACCTGGCCTTTTCAGCTGGATTTGAGGGATTTACTGCTGCTTTAATGTTCTTCTCCAAAGTATTGAGCAGGAGGCCAATACTCATCTGAAGCATTTCTCTGGAAAAGAAGCAGAAATAAATTTATTAGTTTTAAAACTTTCACACAATTATACATGAAAACTTGAGAACCTGCTTTTCTCTTATGATTTGATCACCTGCACTGAGTGTAGCTAAGAACTATTAAATGCAATTAATATGGCCAGTTTTTAGTTCATCTGTTGTGCAGTCACCACTCTAATGTGACGGCAGAATGGGAGAAGAGATGTCTTAACAATAGTCTCATGAGGTGTGGCCATGTAAATGACAATCTAGAAACTCTTTGATTGTTTTCTAGGCTGTTTTGTTTCCCTGGTATGGTTTTTGAGTAATCTAGGGAAGATTACT